TTGGCTCTTGGCATGTTTTGTCCACTTTCCATGATGTGAAAAATGGATGGATTTGTCTTCCAGCAAATATGCGTGAATTTTCCTGAGAAAACATAGGAAAATGCTCAATGACCAGAGATTATATGAATACAGGTTAAATAAATCAGCGTAAATTTACAATCTTCTGAGCCAGATATAGAAAGAACTATATCATGGTTCCAACTAACCTCAGCTGTCAATTTTGCCTCCAACCTCAGATTTGGAATTGTTTGCACTGTCTGTTTAACTGGTGTAAGATTTGATTCTTTCAAGCCATTGGTCAGCCTTTTTCTTGGTGTAGAATTCATTCTTTCTTTCTTTGGGGTGGAGTTAGCCCGCCTTTTCAGCTTCAGAGGAGTACTCACATCTTCTGATTAGTATATTCAATTCAAAAGCAATTAATTAATCAAGGTAGAAAAATTCAAAAACTAAATTTAAAGATTCGGAGAATGAATCAAAAAAGGAACTACTACAATATTAACCCAACCTCCTCAATAAAAAATAATCATATAAAAAAATGAAATTGAAACTGGCTCTTCGAAGGAATCTCAAAATATCGATACACGTCCTTCAGAACCTTTGATTATCTGAAAAGTTTATATATAAGGGATTGTCTGATGGAAATTTTTTTACCCTTTTTTTCCACACTTTTTGCTCCACCAGACACACAAAAGTCAAACTTTTCGGCTGAATAGTGTTCCCAACGCTCCAAATTGTGATTTATAGTAGAAACAGACAGGCCCTAAATTAGTTATCGTGCTTTTAATAGACTTTCTTACCTTGACTATATGAAGTAGAAAAATCACTAAATGATAGACAACTATTTTCACCAGAACTATTTTAAGCAATAAAAGGTTTAAAGTCTTTCCAAATGGTTCATTCTGGCTTCACCATTGTTCACAAACCTAAATGGAGATAATCTCAAAGCTTTTTCGATGCTAAATGTAACATAGAAATAGAATTAGGAGAGCGTATAGAGCATAGTTATCAAAACCGGACCGGACCGGCCGGTCCCGCCCAGAAACTGGCGAACCGAAAGTGATCCGGTCCGATTGGAAATAATTGGTTCATTACGAAAGGCCCGGTCAAGAACCGCCCAAGCCGGCCCATATTTGCCAGAACCGCACGGTTTGAAAGGAAACCGGACCCGGTTCAAACTGAACCGGTTGTTACCAAATTGGTCCATGGAAAAATTTAACACCAAATTTGCATATGGAGAGATTCAAACCTGTGGTTCTTGCATGGAATATGAGTATCTTGACCACTAGGGCAATTACAGGAGCTTTGTAATAAATGTGTAAGAAATATTATATATACATATTTTTAGAAAAATGTCTACTTTCAAAAAAAGTATTTTCTAACTAATATTCGGCCTAGTAATGACCCAACGGTTGAACCACTAACCTGCCGATTAAACCATTGTCTTGATGATTTATCCGGGTAGACGATCGGATCGGGTTATATAACTATGGAATAGAGAAAAGGAGAAGAAAGGGAGGGAACTCTTTGATTGTATTCAATGATAATGGTGCAGGTGTTACTGTGGATAGACCGTATTTTATAGAGTTTAAATTAACCTAATTTAAGTAGGAATTCAAACAAATCTAATTTAAGAAGGAAACTAAGGAAATAAAACCTAACACAAAATACCGTTATTCTTAATCTACTACAAATATCTTCCATTATTATCTTCATTCCTCATCATTTATCCCGACTAAGAGAACTAGAATTTGACGAGATATATTGCAACTTCGGTGCCAAAGGAGACAATCCTTCTTCATGACTTAGTATCGATAATGAGCTCTAGAAATAAAAAAATGTACGAGTATTCATAAAAATATAAACTAAATCCACGTAACGAGAAGCACAATGACTAGCATGGTTGACTGGCTTGCAGAAATAAATGATTGCAATATAGGTGGCTCAAATACCCCCCAATAAGGAAACAATTATATTATAACAGAAACGGAACTTTAAGTGCAATAGGCAGTCAAACAAAGTAATGTCAAGTGATTGATCAATAAACTTTTCATAACATGTTTGGGATACCGTGTTAAGGAAACATGAAATGAAACACAGTAATCCCTCTTAAAGTATAGGTACACTACACATGAAAAACAAGCTCATAATTTTCATTATTTAAAATATTTTTCATTTATTCTCACATGAAAACTACGTGTTTAACAAATGTTGAACTGAAATAGTATGGAGATAATTAGTAAGCAATGGTCTAATACCCATAGAAAAATATGCGAACAGAGAAGTTGCACAATTTGTTCTTGTGGACGAGTTGCACAAATTATTTCTTTTTGGCATTCTACTTCAATACATGGTAATGAAGATCATCCCCTTTGATAAGAAGTTGCAATCTATCTAGCAGATTCTGGTTTGCTCACCCGAGGACAAATGATGAGATAGTATTAGTCTAATAGATATAAAGTTGAAGACTTGCCAAGTGTAGATGGTTTATTTCACTTTATCGTAAGCTTTGACTTAGCTCCTATTTGGTGGGAATTAAAATCAGATTTTGATAAAATATGTGATTGAAAAGTTGTAAATCTCATAAAATATGAGGTTAAACTTTGACTTAGATTAGAATCTAGATTTTAATCCCTACCAAACAAGGACTTAAACTAGTTTTAATTTTCTAATTAGATTAATTTTATTTAAACCTTTTATAAAGAGAGTTAAACTTCTTTTCATTAGACTTGATTGTTAAATAAATACTTCCTCCTTCCAATTCCTCTCTATTTTCTCCCCTTTCTACTATTTGTCCCCTCCTTTCTCTTCTCTTCTCTTCTCTTCTTCTCCTGTTTGACCATCTATAATTTTGATTCTAGTTTACTAATGTCCATCATCACTTTCTCTATTCCATATACTTCCATGCTCCACACTCAAAGATTGACTTAAATCGATTGACCTCTGACTTCTTGAAGCTTAGGGTAAAGAAAAGAAAAAAGAACAGGTGTAGTTGCAAGCTCTACTGTGTAATCTAACATTGCTTGTCATTCAAATCATCAGGCATTGTTGTATGCTTATGAGCTATTGCAGGAACTTGTTCAATAAATAAGATAAGATAAGGAATATACTGGCAGCAGAGTTTGGAGGCGAGCTGGTCTCCTCATTATCGTCAAGGGATTCAATGAGGATTGGCTCTTTTTGCTGCCTCTTCTGCTGTGATCTTTCGGAGGCCTTTAGAAAGAAATCAGACTCTGTCAAGATTCCAAAGAATTGAATCATTTAAGAGTTGAAATGTACTCTTTATTGTTTCAATTTAAATTTTCTAGAATTCGAGGTGTCAACTCAAGCAGCATAAAAACATTCTTCATTTGCTTCACTTTTGCTGGGGTAAGGCAGAAGGCGGAAATTTGTGGCAAGGCATTTACTTACTAACTATAGCTGGGAAATTTCCATCTCCCACTGGCTTGCCTGAAGTTTCTTTACCATTTGCTGTAGCCTGAAATTACATGCAGAAAAATGAAAATGAGGTGGAATTCAAAAGCGCAACTATTTTGGTTTTATGTAAATTATCGGATTGGCCATCACGGCATGGAATGTGTGCTTGTCACCATTTCCTGTGAAATTACATGCAGAAAAATGTGTGCTTGTCACCATTTCCTCAGCCCACAGCATGCTTAGCACAGTACATAAAAAAATAAGAATTTCTATCTAACAAACTTAACTAGTCTTCTTAACTATGTACTTGCAAATAAACCTGGAATTATAAAATCTACCTACATCCAAATCCAATCATCTTAAAAACTAGTGATATCTACAATTTCGGTGCACTTTGAGAAGTGATCGATTTTCAATTATGTAACAGCTCAAAAAACACAGTCCAAAGAAAAATCTTAATCGTGAATCTCCAACACAATCAACCAAAAAAATAAAAATAAAAATAAAAAATCTTCAACTCCATGTACAATCCTTGCAGCAAGATGTACAACATATACCTTTTTAGAAGAAGCTCGTGACTGCAACAGTGTCGCTTTCGATTTTGCCTTTGAATTGGCCTTTCCCTTCCTCTTTTTGCCATTTATACGCCACTCCTCTTCCTCCTCTTCTTTACAATCACTACCTTCCTCAAATTCATTGCCATCGCAATTTTCAGCTTCCTGGACTGATCCATCTCTGTGTGGGAACAGCGTCGATTGAACCAATCGCCTCCTTACGCGCGTCCCCTCCATAGCTGAATTGGGCACTGATGGTGGAGGAGAAGTGGGGTTTTGCCGCGCAGTGAATACTTATAGGGGTAGGGGGGACGGGGAGTAAAAGGTAAAATTGTTTTTGTTGGGGAAAAGAGTAATTTTAACTAGTAGGCTAGATGGGTTTTTGGGAGGAAAAGATGACCTGCGGAATCGGTAACAGGTTATAGCTTGTTTGTATTTCCCGCGCGGGAATTGCTCCTTTTTTGTTAAAATTACTTTAAAATTAATTAACTTTTTATTGGTGAAATTATAATTAATATAAGGATATTTTTGTCTTTTCAATAAAAGTACAAAACACTCGAACCGTGACTGCGCAGTGAATTGGTAGTTAAAGAGATATGCCCAAAATTCGAAGATTAAGAACTATTTTGCGCATAATCCTATAGGTTAGGGACTAAATGTGCCAATTTCCCTAAATTTAAAGAAATAGAAACCGTGGAAAGAGATCATACGTTTTTCGGATTTCCCAAGGTATGCTTGTCCTAATGCTCAAGAAAGTTGGTCACTGTCGGAAGAAAGCACTCTCTTTTTCTCTCTCACATACACAGTCTTTGCTGATTTCAAATACTTCTTCTTTCTCTCACACACACTTTCTCTCACAGTGCAGCCGGATTCAGCTCCGAACTAGTAAAAAGGTAAAACGTAAAAATAACCGCAAAAATAGAAAAATACTGCATTTTCATTTCTTCCCTGCAGAGAAGTCAAGTGTGGGCCAAAAAATAAATAAAACCACCCATTACTCGCCTGAACTGAGAAAAACCCTTGATGTTCAAAATGGCTAACAGAAACCCGTTCACCATTCTCATTTTCCTCCTTTACTGCTTAACTACTTTCTTCTCACTGACGACCTCAAAGTCCACAATAGAGCCATGTTCCAACTCCGACACCTGCAGTGCCCTGGTGGGCTACACTCTTTATACCGATCTTAAAGTCTCCGAGGTCGCTTCACTTTTCTCCGTCGACCCCATTTCGCTCCTTCTTTCAAATTCAATTGACATCTCGTACCCGGATGTTGAAAACCACATACTCCCATCTCAACTCTTCCTCAAAATCCCCATCCCCTGTTCTTGTGTTGATGGGATTCGTAAATCCTCCACCACCAGTTACAAGACCCGCCCTTCAGACACCCTTGCCTCCATTGCCTCCTTCGTCTATGACGGACTTATCTCGGCCGTCCAGATCAATGAGGCCAACCCCGATGCGGGTATCTCTGACCCTTCTGTGCTCAATGTAGGGACTAAGCTTAATATTCCACTCCCCTGTACTTGTTTCAACAACAGTGATAACAATTTGCCTGCGATTTATATGTCCTATGTTGTGAAACCTGTGGATATATTGTCGGGGATTGCAGCTCGATATGCTACAACTTTGACTGATCTTATGAATGTGAATCAGTTGGGGAGCCCTGCCATTGACGAGGGTGACATTCTTGCGATTCCCTTATCTGGTACTCATTCTATTCCTAGTTTGGTTTGTACTGTTGTTTGTTTGTTTCAATTGTCATTATATGTTGCTTTTGGAAGATTTTCAAATGATATTGGAGTTGAATGCATTAAGGATCTAGAACAACTTCAATTGCAGTTGGTATCTGAGAAAATTGGCTATTTGTGTACATATTGAAATAAAATTAGAAGCAACAACATATTTGTTACAATTCAACAGCACTTCGTGATTAATAAAACCCAACAATAATCTTAACAAGTTCTTCTACACGTTTGCTATGTTTATGGTCGCCGAGAGATAAATTGCAAGCCTTTCCGAGTTGTTGAAGAGTTCAAATATGTATACCAAGAAATTAAGATCAATATCAAAATTGTTTGTACATGGCTAAAAAATATATCCTTTTGTATAATATGGGGTTCCAAAATTGTAATCTCGACGGTGCCGTTTGTTTTCTCCATACCTTTTGTTTAATATCAGTAACTTCTGGAGATCCTATTTTGAATTCATTAGGTTATTGTTATTGTATATGAATTGCTTTTTATGAGTATCCATGTAACATTTTTGTCCTATGCAATTTTCGTCTACTTCCATCAATTATCTGTTCCCTATTTGTACTTGTCTTCTTAAAGTTAATCACTTGTTTTATTCTTTTGGAAAAGAAATTTACATTTCTTTTTTTTTTTCTTCCACAATTCATTTTTTGAGGCATTTTTCATGGTTTTGGGAATTATTCTTTCTAGGAAACTGAAAATGACCCAGTAGGTGTCCATGTGTTACAAACATATTGATAGAACTCACCCTCATAACTGGCTTGTAAGAGGGGAGGTTGCCATTGTAAGCCCACAAAACAAGATTTTACTTAGGGGCATGGGACTCAAAAAAGTTGTTACAATCCACCATGCTCTTTTAATGTTCATAGGGACCCATATTCTTAGCTTCGCAACTTCACAAAACCAACCTTCTACGTGAAGTAGCCCTCCCAAGATCGCCCCTTCAGCAGCAAGGGCCATCCCCTTGAGGGTCTCTCAGTTACAGGAACTTTGGGTGGAATTCACCATTTAAACTGGCTTGTAATTAGGAGGCCCAAATTGTTTATCAACCCACAAAGTCACAAACTAAGCTTCAACTTACCAATGTGAGACTCAGTTAGGGTCAGAACACCATTAAAATGTTTGGTAAAGATTTTGTTCTTTCTTTTCATACGACATAGTTGCTCATGATTTTCATGGATAACGCGTTCTATAATCTCTAAGTGGATGTCTGATAAAAGTTGGGGCTTTTGATACAGTGAATACTTTGTTCAATGTAGGTGGCAGGTTAGCGAACTGGTTAAATTTCTTAAAGTTTTATTCTTTTTTCATAATTATGTGTTCAATAAATCAAATAGTTAAAAGAATAGAAGAACATAAGCAAGCTAAATGAGGCCATATTTGTAAATGACTCTCCATGTAATGCATTTTGCAGCCTGTGCATCTAATTTTCCAAAGTATGCTTCGGATTACGGCTTGTTTGTACCGAATGGGAGTTATGCTATAACTGCAAGTCACTGTGTGCAGTGTAGTTGTGGGCCAGGGAGCCGCAAGTGAGTGAGAAACTTCCAATAGACATGCTTTAAATCCTCAGTTTTCCCTGTATTTAAGGTAATCTTATCTCTACGTGAGGAAATTATTTAACTAATTTCTTGAATTTTTGCAGTTTATACTGCTCTCCAGCTTCATTGGCAGTTTCTTGCTCGAGCATGCAGTGCCGAAGTAGTAATCTCATGCTAGGAAATGTTACAACACAACAGTTGAGTGCTGGATGCAATGTGACTTCTTGCAGTTATGGTGGCTTTGTCAATGGAAGCATCACCACCTGGTATGCTTCTAAATTGATTCCTCATCCTATGTCTTATACAGTAGTTAAATTTCTGTTCGTGAGAATGGTTATTCCTCTGGTAAAATGACCTAGAAAAATGGAAGCTTTGTCCTTTAATTCTTCTTTGCTTTCTTGCAGGTTGTCCTCATCTCTTCAACCTAGATGCCCAGGTAAATGTCATTCAAGTGCTGTTCCTTTGACTATTTCACCTCTTTATTTTGTCATAATGACGAGTTTTGTTGTCATTTAATAAATGGAAAACAATTTAGTTGTAAACTTCTTAGGTATTGTTGGATTGTGCGGACTGTGCATAGCCTAATCATAGTGTAGACTTATCCTCTTGATCGTGAATCGACTCAATTGTGTATTCCTAGCATGTATATAGTGACCCTAATATTCCTATTATATAAAGGATTTTACGGGGTCTGCTTTTGCGTGTGTAGATGCCCGAGGAAAAATCCTGTAGCTTTCTTCTCCATTGTAGTGGAAACCTGCAGCGGCAAGTGTAAATAGTTTTCACATTAAGAGTCAACTACTGCAAAACTCTATGTTCAATCTGTTATTTTCCTTTCGTCACCCTGTTTAGTTATCGTAAGAACGAATCAAGGCTTAATCCCTTACATGCATTCTGCTGTTAGAAGATGCTGAATTTTATCATAATGCTGCTTGTTATATGGGCGTCACTTGCTACCATTGTTTATTTTTAATTTTTTGGGGATTGTGGTACAGGATCACAGCAATTTCCTCAACTTATTGCTCCACCTACAGTAGTTCCAGATTCATTATTTTCACCAGCCCCTTCGCCTTCCGAGTCTGGTGGTTTTCCAACAACGAACCCCAAGTCTTCTGTGGTGCCTTCCTCTGGCACAGGAATAGGATTTCCACCTGCGAATGGACCAGCCGGAAGTGCCTCTGGTACATCAGGTGCTCATGCCTTGATGAACAATTTATCTAGTTTTTCAGTCTTGCTTAATTTAGGTCTGGTTTTCAAGATTCTACTGTCGATTCCATTGTAATTTCTTCAGTTGTGGCGGAGGGTTGGACCATGTTTTGCTGAGTTTGTGCCTTCTCTTTAAGTCCTTAAGCTCGTATTGTATTTAAACAATTTATTGCTGCCATTGCACATATTTTTAAATGCAGCCAACTGATGATTGCTAATCATTTTCTTCGAATTAATTCTTCTCTATCCCGCAATTATTTTCACCAGTAAAAATTTCTTCATGGTCTTTATTTGTTTATTCTATGCAGATTATAGTTCTCTTTCATGATTCTATGTCAAATGTGGTGTTCTCTCTTGGAACTACTGGTGTTTTGAACAAAAGTGGAATAGTTATGAGTCAATATATATACTAGTAAACCCATGTAATGGGGTGGCGACGAGGGGACGGGATGGGACGGTCGACTGGGCTTAAGTTTTCATGGCTCTTGCTGTAAAGAATTTAGCTGTGGAACATGGGATTTCCAGCAGTTACTATATTGTCAGCAACAACATTTGCTGATGTTTTTATGTCCACCACTGGCAATTCTTGGGCCTTCACAGCATCGTATGTTAGCTGAGGTTTTCTGATCTTTGCTTTTACCCCATACCACTGAGTGGAGTCCGAATACTGTGATGATTGCCCCAATTAAGCTGCAATTACATTCACAATAAGTACATCAGTTGTATCATTTCAACTTGAAACCAACTGGCCAGTTTAGTCCAGTTTCCAAAAAAATGTTCACCACCACTACTCGTATAGCATAAAATTTGAAGAGAACTTACTTGAACTATAAAGAAGGCGGACCAGCCTACAATACACGAAATCAACATTAATATGCCACTAACCCAATGTTCATACTTGACCGAGTCACTAGTGGCTCTACGGTGGCTACCGCCTTTGGTGTACCCCAAGGTATCGACTATAGGGCCTTTATACAATGTCATGATCATTGCTTCTGAGACCGTTATTATTGTTCCAATGATCTTTGCTAAACTGTATATCTGATTTGCATTTACCTTCTCCAATCTAATGAGGTAAAGAAAGTATTTGGCAGTGTTGTGAATCAACCGGCCAGGCTCCACCGGTTTAAAATGTGGAGAATGAAGATAATACCTAAAAATAATTGCCATAATGAAGGTGATGGCGGGGAGAGCATTGACAATTGTTGATGCAAATGTTGCAGATGTGGACTTCATTCCAAAGTAGTACCGATTCTGATCCAACACCAGCCTAAAAATACGAAAACCGAACAATTTTCAGTCACTTGATTATTTTTAATATGTTTGTTTTTGTCAAGTTAGGTTGGACATGAGTAGACGAAATTATTAATATGGGAAGTATTTAAAGGGAATTACTCGAGAAAAGTTATATAATACATTGTGTAATCCCTGATGTACACGTGGCAACATCCATCTAATATTAAACGTCAAGCGACATTTACCATATGTTAGCACAACTTTTTATCAAATGCAAGTGTCACAATATTTGGGTCTTTTTAGGAGCATGAAATCACTATCAAAATCAATTAATTTGCACAGGTAAGATCACACGCCCTAATTCACTGGGAATGGAATATTTGACAGGAAAAGTAGTTGGAATGCATATCTAGTCCTAAGAAAAGTCGCAAGTGCACGAGATCTACGAGAACTCTGTGTTTGATAGAGTTATTAATTGAAACTTTAGTCGAACAGCAAACAAAATATATGATTATTTTTCTATACTAATACCTAAATTATCAATTAAACTAATGAAAATAAGTAAATATGTTTTTTAAATATGTGAGATGCATTGCTAAGATGTCAAATCCCCCTTATTAATAATTATCAATTAAACTAATAAAATTAAGTAAATGTGTTTTTCAAATATGTGAGATACATTGTTAAGATATCGAATCTCCCTTTATTATTCTATTTTTAGTGTAACAATTAAAGTGACAATTTGAATTATTTATGTTGGTCAATATTCCTAATTTAATTGAAAGTCTCTCGATAGCTATTAAATTTATTCCCCTCATGTGACCCCTTATTTCTTGAAAAAAATGCAAACACGATAAATGTATTAACAAGTGCTAGAACACCTATTGAAACCATATAAAACATAAATGTATATCTCTATTCTCTATAGAACTTTACAATGTTTATTATATTACGCTTAAACCGTATTGTCTTTCTTGATAACAATAAAATTCACTAACTATTCAATTAGTGATCAAGTAATTGAAAAGAAAGATAAAAACGATAATAAACATCCACAAATCAAATCAAANAGTAATTGAAAAGAAAGATAAAAACGATAATAAACACCCACAAATCAAATCAAATCAAATTAAAGTTAAAATAATTAATTAAAAACTAAAAATATCATAACAAATGTTCATCTCATTCTAACAATATATAAAACTAGTCTAACATATCGAAATTACAAGAAATCATATTTAAGTGAAAAGATATAACCGAATTTTTTATAAATTAAGAAGATGAAGATGAATTTTGAATCTCTTTTGAATGGTTTCTTGATACATCTCCACTTGTGTCTTCTCTTTTTTGCTCAAAAATCAAGTAGGAATCTTTACCTGATTGAATTCCTGCAAGTCATCTTCAATCCTCTTACAAAAATTATGAATTTTACTCATTTAATGATAATAATTAATGAATAATGGAGTATAATATGTATATGAGAGGTCTCTAATATGTATCATGCTGCTAGGTATTTGTAGGAGTAAAAAATTGATTGGAAATCACGTCAAAATTGATTTTCAAAAGAGTTTCAATCGAATAAGGAAGTTGCATTCACGCGCGAATTTTTTTGTCTCTACACAATATTCAATATTTTGGCAATAACTGTCTCTCCCAATATCGGATTCAGGCAATTCAAAGTGCGTTGGAAAACTAACTCAAATGGCTACAATTTTACTAGAATATAGAATTTTTCCAATTCGAACGTTTGCTTTGTCAAAAATTGGTCTCAATTTTCGACTAAAAATCTGGAATATAACTTGTTCGATTAGAAATTGATTTTGATAATATTTTGATCATATTTCATTCATTTTTGAGTTCTAATTCCATCTAATTGTCTCCTAACAATCTTCCAAGTATCGTCTTGTGGTTCAAATCAACTATTGAATATTTACAATTTGGTCATCAAACTTTGGACTTTACCCTTTTTCCTTGATTTTTTTTTCTTCCAATTTTTTGTTTAACCATTGAATTTTACATATACAACAATTTAGGATATATTTTGTCAAAATAACTATCAAATATTGATATTTTAGACCCCCCAAATAAGTATATAAAATACACTTATCAATATCCATGTCTTTACACTTCAAGTGAAATTTCACTCGAAATGACGGTGACGTGACATGTTTAGCCGATGATTATAAAGCCCCCACCCCCCATTATTTGTAATTTTAATGGTTGGAACCGTATTTTTTTTTAAATGTGTGGTTAAAAAAGAAAAAAAAAATTTGAGATTATGTGTAATATTATTTTATTGAAGAATGTTTAATTGATAAGAAGAGAAAAAAAAATAAATTATAATTTTAATGGAAACAAAATAATCACTTCAAATGAAATATACTTTGAAAAAAGCTAAACGTACATGGCCCATTGTATAGCAGCCATCGTATACTTTTTATCTACAATATTTTGCAGGACTTCCTCACATTTCAAAAGACTCACACCTTATAAATACTTAAATTATAATTCAATCACCAACCAAACGTGCAAGCCCCTTCAAGAAAAACTACAATTTAGTTCACTACGTCTAATAATGGACATTACTGTTACCGAGATCAAAGTTGGTTTCGAGTTCTACCAACTTTATCATCATACAATATCCAATCACTTGCAGAAATTATTTCAACCCATTTCAGAAAGAGAAAATTTTGAAATATACAGGGTATTCCATCTAATTGTCTCCTAACAATCTTCCAAGTATCGTCTTGTGGTTCAAATCAACTATTGAATAGTTACAATTTGGTCATCAAACTTTGGACTTTACCCTTTTTCCTTGATTTTTTTTTGTTTCTTCCAATTCCTTGTTTAACCATTGAATTTTACATATACAACAATTTAGGATATATTTTGTCAAAATAACTATCAAATATTGATATTTTAGATCCCCCAAATAAGTATATAAAATACACTTATCAATATCCATGTCTTTACACTTCAGGTGAAATTTCACTCGAAATGACGATGACGTGACATGTTTAGCCGATGATTATAAAGCCCCCACCCCCCATTATTTGTAATTTTAATGGTTGGAACAGTATTTTTTTTAAAATGTGTGGTTAAAAAAGAAATTTTTTTTTTTTGAGATTATGTGTAATATTATTTTATTGAAGAATGTGTGATTGATAAGAAGAGAAAAAAAAATAAATTATAATTTTAATGGAAACAAAATAATCACTTCAAATGAAATATACTTTGAAAAAGCTAAACGTACATGGCCCATTGTATAGCAGCCATCGTATACTTTTTATCTGCAAAATCAAATGAAATATACTTTGAAAAAAGCTAAACGTACATGGCCCATTGTATAGCAGCCATCGTATACTTTTTATCTACAATATTTTGCAGGAGTTCCTCACATTTCAAAAGACTCACACCTTATAAATACTTAAATTATAATTCAATCACCAACCAAACGTGCAAGCCCCTTCAAGTAAAACTACAATTTAGTTCATTACGTCTAATAATGGACATTACTGTTATCGAGATCAAAGTTGGTTTCGAGTTCTACCAACTTTATCATCATACAATATCCAATCACTTGCAGAAATTATTTCAACCCATTTCAGAAAGAGAGAAAATTTTGAAATATACAGGGTCATACTACCACGTACGAAAATTTCTGTTCTGTAAATTATAAAGTTATTGGAATCTCCGTAAGGCTAAAAAAAACTCAACTGTCAAATTCTAGATTAGTTTCTTCTTCTGAAAGTAGCGCTTCAAATAAAGCAATTGGGATATTGAAACCACAATGCAGACACCAACGGACATGATACTGAACCAAGCAACTCTAGCATTTGTTCTCTCACTCACTTCCCTCATATCCGCTTCCCTGCATGCACAAAGGACATATAAGTAATTCAGTTTGATTTTTATTAATTTCCGTTACAATTTGGTGACGAAAAAGGTACTATTACACAGTCCAAACATGAGTGTCGAAAAATATCTACCTACTACTAAATATTTTAATTCCAAGTCGTTTAGAAATCATTTGTATTTTATTCTCGAAGAGAAAGGGGCTTCATTTATATTGTATCTGGTAACATTGAAAAGCCAAAAGATGCTTTTTAAGATTAAGAACTACTTATGGAATTGTACAGATAATTTTCTGGAAAGAGTTCATCACTATTATCATGTTTGGTACATGTCAATCGGGGACAGTGGAAGATGATATGCAAGTCTTAAGGCGTAAATCTCTAAAATTTATACATAAATTAGTTGCCTGCAAATTTATATACAATATCCTGCGGTTCTCAACATAACAATTTTGCTATTCTATTGAAGACTGTCAACTCTTTATTTAGTCAATTTGATAAATAAATGCCATTCCGTACTCCTCCAAAAAACATGTGGCAGATCGATAGCAACTCCATAATGAGAAGACGACGAAGTAGAATAAATTCAAAATTGAAAGAATGTTAAAGAGAAGAATCAGGCAAAACCACTCTGGAGAGAGAGAAAGAAAAGCACACATTCGATAATCGAACTGCAAATTACCTGTCTTTGAGATAGATTAAGTTTTCGTGGATTGCTTCCACAGCTCCTTCAAGCTTCTGTAACTCAAGTTCTAGACCCTAAAGGAAAAAAATGGCAACTTAAGAACGCAGAGGAAGATAAAATAAGTGTTTAGAGAGGGAGATTATTATCATAATTATTGTCATCAGAGTCCTAAAATGATGATGACAATTTTGAGGATAAACTTACTTCAATTTTTT